GAGGCCTGGCATGCTGCGATTCATGGGGTCACAAAGACTTGGACACAACTGAGCGACTGAACTGAACTGAACTGAACCATACGGCTCATAAAAAGGAAGAGGGTTGTAAATAGTTACTTATCATCGTATGGAAAAACTAACGAAGGAAATGCATGCGTTCCTCAGCCCTGGGAGTAGTGTGCCACTCCTCTAAATTCCTGAATATTCAGGAATTAATAAGGAACAGAGGATTCATGACAGATCCGAAACAGCACACAGGAAGCCTCCTGTTACATGCTTTCTGACAATTCCCCCTATTTTATTATATTTGTTAAAAAGGTCCTGTCCAAATGAGTTTTTGTTAGTATTAACCAACATTATAGAAAGACAACAATAAACAACAAATATAATTACCAAGACAATCACCAAAGTTACAGTTCCAGACCCGATGCTGTGGGTAGTACTTTGAAACCATCCCCTTGGGTCTAGCCCAGATAATTGATCAACAAGTTGTTCAGCTCAAGTTTCCAAATTAGTGGAAGAGGGAAGATGTTTAGAAAAAGTTTCAAAGATTTCCTTTTGCAGTAATTGTACATTCAGAGAGGCATTATCATGTATATTTTGTAAATGAAATTTGATTTGTTCCCAGTTGAAGGCACTATGAATTGAGCAGGAGTAACACAAAATTGAGTAGGATTCCAATCATGTTTTAGTATCACTTGTTTTTGCAAATCTATTAATTGATCTCCGACCCATTTGATGGCTGTTTTTAGTTCTTGTATTTCCTTATGAATATCCTCGTCTACCTGAGCCTGAGTAGCCCACGTATTATGAGCATCCTCAGTCCAATTTTGGATAAAATTATGTGTTTGAATTGAGGTTTGTAAAGCAGTGCCGGCAACGGCAGCAGTGGTGCAAATAGCTATTAACCCCAAAATGCCAAGAATCAGCCATCCAACGAATTGTTTAGATAATTGGAGCAGTTTAGTAAGTAATCTGGAAGCGAGTCCAACCATGGGACCTTCTTCCCAGGGTCATTGGAGATTTATTGGTAACCACAAATGACATCGAGATAGAAGAAATCAAAAGAGAATCATTTTTTAAAGAAATAGAGGAGTTAAGACAAGTATATAGTTTGCAATTAATACAAGTTACAGAACATAAAGTCTTATTAAATTGTAAATTTACTGTGGCTATAATAAAAGGAAGTGGGACACAGGCCTGTATAAAATATGACTGATTATAGCAAAAGTAATAGTTACTATGACCACGGTTGGTCCCTGTGAAATGTCCGGTCCAAGTCCCAAGTTTTTCGGTGGTGGCAACAAGTTTCCAGATGTCCCATTGTTCAGGCCCACTCTGTTTATCGAGGACGATCTGAGGACAAGGGGTGCTATTCCACCAGGGGTGCTATTCCACTGTCAAGCCAGCCAAGAAGTCCTTTGTCATGGTAATACTCTATCATGGTGTTAGTAACTCTGAGTAGCATAATCACATGCAGTGTTGTTTATATCATCTGAGCAGTTAGATAAGCACATACCATGGGGTCCCTAATCGACAATGGTGTGGCTAGCCACAAATATTAGTTTTCCTGATTTGGCTTGACATTTGTTCCAACGAACAGGAGTATATTTAAAGTTCTTATAAATAAACCCTTCACATAATGTTCTTTGTTCTTTCCCTAACTCTTTCCCTAGTTTCAGTAGTATAAACATGGTTCATAGACAAAGAAAGGGCAGTAAATAATCCAAGCAATGTCCAAAAGTCTTCTTTCGGAGGCAGGACAAAAGCCCAAATTTGTCGCTGATGATTATGCATAATTCTCCTGGGCCCAGGTACAATGGGAGGACTTCATAGCCTAAAGAAATGTTAATTAGTTTTCCTTCCTCCCCGGGGTGTGATGGCCCCTCCAAGTTCCAGGGAGGGGGCATAAGGGTGGAGTCATTAGTTGATATCCTTTCTCTGTCCATTTTATGACCTGCAATAAAGGGGGGGGGGTAGGTAAGTAAGCCCAGTTAAGTCTGATTAGTTAATCCGGGGGTAGCACAGGCCAACAGAGCATAGCGATAAGAAGGTTTTCAGGACTCCAAGGCATTCCCTGTTGAGAAACCAGATTTTCAGCTTGATTAGTAAGGGTTTTTATTTGTCCCCAAGTGGGGAGATCATAAGGTTGATGCCGCCGAGGGCGGCGCTTCCTGGAGATCTTTAGAGCCGCCATGGCCAGTATTGGAATTTCTTCCTCCTGGGGTTCTTGTTTCGTCTCCATTTTGAATGCCGGGGGCCCCCTTGGGTCGAATCTTCCGAAGAGGAAGCCATGTGAATTCGTTGGATCCATCTGGGCAAATACAAACATATCCCTTTCCTTGTAAGATTAGTTTCCCAGATTTCCATTGTTTCGTTAACCCGTCTTGGTACCAAATGAGCAGAGGAGGAGAAGTGTCCTTCAATTCCTCGAAATGCTTTTCTGTTCTTGTCAAGATATCTCCTTGTGGCAAGTTAAAAAAAAAAATTTAAACAAATAAAGCTGTATTAACAATAGTTATAGGTTTAGGAAATATCTTATGTTGGAATCTAGTAAAGTCTGCTTTAGATAAGGAAGACAGTAGTGTTCCTGTGTGTTCCCCCTTTTTAAATTTTATTTGCAACTTTAGTGTGTGATATGTTCATTTGACTATGTCTTGTGTCTGTGGATTATAAGGAATACCTGTAATATGTTTAATAGAAAAAGATTGTAAAAATTGTTTAAAGTGTCTAGAAATATAGGCAGGGCCATTGTCTGTATTAATAGAACTAGACGTTTCCATTACAGCAAAACAAGCTAATAAGTGAGTTATAACATGTTGTGTAGCCGCACCGTGAAGAGGTGTGGCCCAAATAAAAGAATAATTAGTGTTGATACAGACATGCAAGAAAGAAAATGGAGAAAGTTCAGGGCAATGAGTTACATCCATTTGTCATAGTTCATTAGGTTGTAAACCACGAGGATTAATACCTTGTGTGATGGGTCGAAGATGTAGGGGTCTACAAGAAGAACAATTGCTAATCATTTTTTAAGCCTGGCGGTATGGGATTTTCCATAGCTGCTGTAGGGAACCAGCATTGCTGTGCAACAGAGCATGCTGTTTCTCCGGAGTAGCAAAGGAAACCAGTTTATCAGTCTGCTCATTACCATAAGTCATGGGGCCAGGAAGGCAAGAATGTGCTCAAATATGTGTAATATAAATGGGAGAATTGAGGTTCTAACAACAGATTGTAATTTGAAAAAGAGTTGTTGAATAATAGGTTGATCGGAGTTTATGGTGGAGGTTTCTATATTTTTTAATACAAAAACTGAATATATAGATTTAGAGACTATATTAATGGGGTAAGGATGTAGGCAAATAACTTGAATAAGAGCATATAATTCATTTTGTTGAGCAGAATGAAATTTAGTATAAAAGACTTTATATTTCTTAAGAGACCAGAATGAAGCTTTGGCGTTTTTAGTCCCATCTATATAAAAAAAACCTCAGCTTGTGATATAGGCTGTGAGCTGATAATGCAGGAAATAATAAATTCAGTATTTTTGGAGAAATTCCACAGCTTACCAGAAGGATAATGAAATGAAATTTCTCCAAAATATTCCAGAAAAGCTATTTGGAAATTGGTAGAAGTTTGTAATGTGTGTTCAAATTGAGATTTATTGATAGGTTTTACAATTTTATGAGGATCAGAGCCAATTAGAGTTTTAGTCATATTTCTTCCATTGATAATGATTAGAGCGATTAAATCAAGGTAGGAGGTAAGTGACTTTATTCCCCTAAAACGGGTATAGATCCATTCTACTGGGTGTTCTTGTTGGGCAAGAAGTCCTGTGGGAGAATGAAGAGAGGGGAGCATAAATAATTCTAGAGGTAAATCTAGTTTGATGCAAGTAAGATATTGTTTTTGTAATTTATTTTGTACTAGAGTTCCTCTTGTGCCACTTGAGAAGGTGAACAAGGGCAATTTTAATCAGGATCTCCTTTTAAAGTATTTAAATAGGTTATTTAGTTGATAATTAGCAATGCCTAAAGAAGATCTAATCCAATTTATATCACCTAAGAGCTTTTGAAAATCATTTAAGGTTGATAATTTATCAGTACAGATCTGAGTTACTTGGGGAGTAATACGTTGTCTATTAACAACAAACCCTAAGTAGTGGTAAGGTGTAGAGGTTTGAATTTTTTCAGGGGCAATGATTAATCCAGAGTTTTTTAAGCTTAGTTGAGCTGTATCAAACATGTGTTGAGTTTCTAAGATAGATGGAGCCAAGAACAATATATCGTCCATATAGTGAATAACAAGAAAGTTAGGAAATTGTTTCTTCACAGGCTCAAGGGCTTTAGCTACGTAATACTGACACATGATGGGAGAATTCATCATCCCTTGTGGCAGTATAGTCCATTGGTACCGTTTATGAGGTCTGATATGATTAGGATAAGGGAGAGAGAAAGCAAATCTCTCTCAGCCTAAAGGGTGTAAAGGTATATTAAAAAAGCAATCTTGTAAATCGATAATAAGAATGTGCCAATTTTGAGGAATAGTGGTCGGTGATGGGATTCCTGGTTGTCATGCACCCATAGGTTTCATAGATGCATTAACTTTTCTAAGGTCTGTTAGGAGACACCATTTGTTAGATTTTTTTATAACAAAAATAGAGTTCCAAGGAGAACAAGATTCCTCAATATTGAGGAATTCTTTAATTCTTGTTGTGTATCTATGAGTTCCTTAGCCGCCTGTAATTTCTCTTTCGTGAGGGGCCACTGCTCTGTCCAAATAGGCTTGTCATTCTCCTAAGTTATTTTAACAATTGTATTATTTGTTAAATGAGCAGTGGCCCCTAGGAAAAATGTGGAATGTATATCTGAGTTTGCCATTGCATAAGTAAGTCCCTTCCTATTAGATTAAGGGGTGCATCTATCACATAAGGTCTTAATGTTGCAGGTTGGCATTCTGGTCCCTCACATGGATAAATTTGAGTACTCTGATAAACCTCTTGTACTTTGGTCTGAGAAATCCCTGCAATTTGGCAAGAAATTTTTTGTATAGGCCACGATTTTGTCCATAAATGTTTGGAAATAATAGTAATATCAGACCCAGTGTTGAGAAGAGCAGAAAACCTTTTACCGTTAACTTTGATATTCATAGTTGGTCAGGAAAATTCAGATACCAATGATGTCCATAAGGACTGTTTTTGATCTGTACTGCTGAATCCACCTGTCCATACATTAGAGGAGTTAATAGAAATGTAAGGTAGAAGGAGTAATTGAGCAATTTTGTCCCCCTTTTTAAATTGCCATAAAATCTGAGATGACATCATAATTTGAATTTCTCCTTTATAATCTGAATCAATTACTCCAGGGTGAACAGTAATTCCTTTAGAAGTCAAACTAGATCGGCCAAGTAAAAGACTGAAGGTTTGTGGGGGCAGGGGTCCAAAAAGTCCAGAAGATATTTTAGAGGGGACTGTTTGAGTGTAAATGAGAAAATCATTTAGGGCTGGTGTATTGATGGCAGCACTGCCAGATGTAGAGGATTTGAAGGAAAAGATGGATCTTGTCCCTAGTTTTTGTTGAAGGGGACCTGGGGGGTCCCCTGGTTGGTGTTTTCCACAATAGGTTTCCCTACAGTGTCAAATTTGGATTTACAGTCTTTGGCCCAGTGCATTCCTCTACGGCAGCCAGCGAGGGCAGATTTTTGGAGGTTTTTTTATTAGTCTTCTTAGGGCAGTCCCTTTTTAAATGGTTCTTATCTCCACATGTAAAGCATTCTTCATTTCCCTTTCTTAAGGCAGCAACCATTGTTTCAGCTAGCATTTGCACCTTTTGAGTTTCTGATCCTAGATTGTGACAAGCCTTCAAATAATAATAGTCCTTGTCTCACGAATTGGAACTATAGCCTTTTGACATTGCTGATTTGCATTTTCATAAGCAAGTAATTTCTCTAGTTGCCTTTTGACTTTTTCTCCAATTACAGTACAGGAAATAGCAGTTTTTACTCTAGCTAAAAATCAGCATAAGTTTCATTAGGTCCTTGTAATATTTTAGTGTAGCTACCTGTAGGTTTTTCTTGAGGAGTAGTTCTATCTCAAGCTTCAAGGGCCATTGTTTTTAATTGTCCATGCAACAAAAGAGGGCATTGTATTTGAACTTTTATAGAATCAAATTGTTCGGTGCCAATTAACATTTTAAAAGTAATTTGGTTTTGGGGAGCGCCAGCTCAAGCATTTTTGTTAGCATGATCTCTGGCTATATTTTGAAACCACATTGTCCATTGAAGATACTCTCCTTATTTAAGGAGAGCTTTTATTAAAATTCATCAATCATAGGGAATAAAGGTTCCAATAGAAGATGCCATAGCATTTAGAATCTCTCTAGTAAAAGGCGAATGTGGGCCATACATAGTTACAGCCTTTTTCATTTGTTGCATGTGACATTCATATTAAGGTATTATTTTCCCTTGAGCATCAGGATTTCTAAAAACTGGAAAGGCGGAGAAACCTTCAGCTTCAGAGACTTATGATTGCAAAGCCAGCAATTCAGAGAGCCTCTGTCATGAAGGAGAGTGAGTAGGTAGATTATTATTCAGAAAGGTGTTGTCGGTTTTAATGTCAAAAGGTGTCTTAGGGGAGTCGTTGCCAGAATCATTAGGTTCTAGCAAGGGAGAGACTTTGGGATTTGTGCCTGCTGGCAGGGGAGGAGCGTTTGGAGCAACCAGGGCAGGGCTTGTAGGAAAATTCTGAAATATTTTATGTTGTTCTAATTGGACCTTTTGTAAGGTTTCATCATCTAATTCATATTCATGTAATAAGTGTTCTGCCTGTTGCTGAATATCAGAAGGGCTAGAATTATCTTGAAATGGCAGAATCACAGCTTTAATGAGAGCCCATAGGGGCCAGAAATCTATCGGAATATTTTTTCCCTGTCTGGCGGCTCATTCAACATTCTCTTTGACCCAATGCCAAATTTCTGAATCAAAACTGCCTTCATCAGGGAACCAGGGATTATGTTCAACTATTGTTTGAAGGCAAGCCTCTACTCGTTGGCGCAAAACCGAAAGTCCCTGAACTTTAAGTAAAGTAGAAAAGTGAGGGGGCTTTCCAGCCAATTGACCCGTGTCTTTGTACTTACCAGCCTCAATAGGCCCTGGAGTCACTCCGTCCAAATCTGCCACATGTACCAGGCCCCTGTTCTGGGCGCCACTTGTTGAGGTCCTTTAATGGACCGGAACCTGGTGATCCGGAGTTGACGATAAGAAAGTAAAGGAGATAGAGAAAGAGGCTGATATTCCTTGGTTTACGCAGAAAACCAATAAAGCTCTTGACACAGAGCTTGCACTGCTTCACATAGGCACCGGGCGCCCTCTCCAGGGGGTGAAGGCACAGTGTGCCTTCTCGAGAGGGTCTCAGAAGCCCGGGCAAGAAAGTGAGCTCAGCGGGCTTCTGCGCTCCAAAGAAATTAGCCTGAGAGAGAGAGAAGGAAAGAAAGCTCTGATGGAGCAAAGGTGTTTTATTCAACATAGTGTGGGTATATATACTGTCTTGCAAGGTAGCTATTTTCAGCAAAGATTAAAAAAGTCCAGACTTACAAATTATCAAGGAAACATGAGGCGATCCATATCAAAGAGAGAGGGTTGTAAATAATCACTTTTACTGTATGGTTCATAAAAAGGAAGAGGGTTGTAAATAGTTGCTTATCACCGTATGGAAAAACTAACAAAGGAAATGCATGTATTCCTCAGCCCCGGGAGTAGCGTGCCACTCCTCTAAATTCCTGAATATTCAGGAATTAATAAGGAACAGAGGGTTCATGACAGATCCAAAACAGCACACAGGAAACCTCCTGTTAAATGCTTCCTGACAATATATCTATGAGTAATAGAGAATTTTTGTTTCTTTTCAATTTCTATATATTTTTCTTGTTTTAAACTGTGCTTGTTAGGATTTGTTTTGCAGTATTGACTGGAAGTGGTAATAGTGGACTTCCTGCCCACATTTCTGATTTCAAGGGAGACATTCGCAGTTTCATCAGTAAGTATGGTATTTTTTTTTTAATACATACCCTTTTTTAAGTTAATAAAAGTTACCTTCTGTTACCACTTGGCAAGTTTTTATCATGCTTGAAAGCATTTGTTAAATATTTTTACTATATCTTTTGAAATGATTATATGATTTTTCCCATCTTAAATATGTTAAATTGATGAATTAATTTTCTGAAGTACCCTTGCATTCCTGGGGTAAACACCAATCTGTCATGATATATGATGCTTACACATTGCTGGATTCAGTTTGCATGCATATACAAGCATTTAGTTGCATATCTGTATATATGTGTGTATGGGTGTTGTATATGTAAAAACTTTTTTGGGGTGTTTTTCATCTGTGTTCATGACTAAGAATGCCTATATATTGTACTTCCTTTCTCATTCTCGGGCTCTTCTATAAAGGTTTTGCTCGCTTATAAACTAAGTTACAGGTGTTCCTTTGTACTGTGTTTCTAGAAAAGTTTTGTATGACTATAATTATTTCCTCCTTAGAATATTTAACAAAACTTCCTGAAAGCTATCTGGGCCTGAACCTTTCTATATAGGAAAATCTCTGATCACAAGCTCAATTTATTTAATGACTGTAGAACTGTTCAGATTTTCTGTTTCTTCTAAAGTCAGTTTTGATTGAGTTATTATAGGTAAGGGGCTGTTTGTTAGGAATTTATACTTATAAACTTGAAATTTTAGATGAAACATACAAAGCTGTTTGACATTTCCTCTTGTTATCTGTGTAATATGTATGGGATCAATCATGATAACCTCTTTTTCTTGATATTGTTTATTTGTGCTTTTCTTTTTTCTTAAATAGTCTTACCAAGTGTTGTCAAATTTTTCTCAGTCCTTCCAAATAACTGAACCCCTACCAGCCACATAGGAAAGATCTCATTGCTTCATACCCTCCCCACAAATATTTTCAACATTTTTAATTCAGACTCTTTAATTTCTATTGAATGTGTACAGTTATTTAATTTTGATTTTAGCTTATCATTAGGAAAATGATGTTGATTATCTTTTCAGATGCATATTGGCCATTTGAATATCTTATTTGTGAAATGCCTATTCCATTTTTTTGCCCTTTTTTCTTTCATGGGCTTTTTTTTAATTGATGTATAAGAGTTACTTCTGTATTCTGGATATGAGTCTTTTGTCAGATTTATATATTGCAAATATCTTCTGCCAGGCAGGGGACTGGTCTTCATTCTCTTAATATTTACCTGTTAATAAGCAGAAGCTGTTAGTAATAAAGTCCAATTTATCAGCTTTATTTTATGGCTAGTGATTTTGGTGTGCAATTTTAAAAACCTTTGCCTACTCCAAAGTAAAGATTAAATGTCTATGTTTTCTTTTAAGTGCTTTATTGATTGTGTTTCATATTTAGATCTGTGATTCATATGGAAATAATTTTCATGTAGTAGAGTCAAGATTCATCCTTTAGAATTTCTTTTGGCAAAGGCATTATGCCAGACTCTATTTTAGTTTATAAATATCTTTATCTCATTGAAGAAATATTTTTGAAGGGTTTAGAATTCTAGGTTGAGAAATTTTTTAGCACTGTCAACTCTAATAATATATTCAGCTATTTGACCAGGAAAAGTGAGTTTACTCAGGAATAGCCAGAGGAATTGCAATTCAGAATAAGTGAACTACAGTGGGTCATAGGCGAAATCAGAGAACAAGAAAAGGAAACTTGCTTATATATGGTAAAATGGGGAATTGGGAGGAACTGTATTAACCGAAATGTTCATTGGAGGAAGCTGGGAGTTCATTCCAGTTGGTGGGCTACTGTACTCTCTGAAGAAAAAGAGAAGTTTTCTCTCTTCCTGGTTGGTGATAAAGCAGGCAACACCTTCCTGTGATGGAGATATTTGCTGCCTTTCTTGCTATTTGGAGTAATTGATGATGCGTAGCTGGGTATGAGACCTCCCCCTACTGGCCTATTCCAACTCTAGCTGAGGTTTCTTTAATTCCACAGCACACTGATGTTATGATTCCACTGTCTTCTGCCTTCAGTTATTTCTGTTGTGAAATAAACTATTAGCTTAACAGTTGATATGCCATTAAAGGTAATCAACCTTTTTTCTCTCTGTCTTTAAAATCTCTTCTTTATCTCTATTCTGAATCACTATGATATGTCTGTATACAGATTTTTTTTTTCCTTCTGATCCTGCTTGAGAATCTTTGGGTTAATTGGATTGTCTCTTGTCAGTTCTGAAACATTCTCAGATATTTAATTTTCAATGTCTCTGCCTCATTCTTTTTCCTTCTGTAACTCTAATAACATATGTTAAGTCTGTTTCATATTTTCCAACCTTTGCCTTTCTGTGTTATATTCCAGTTATTTATCCAGAATTTTGTCCAAGTGGACTTGGACAAAAATAGAGCATCTGTATAAGTAGGCAATTTATACAGAATTTATCCAAATAGAGCATCTAGAAATGAAAAATTTTTTAATCTAGTAGGTGGATTTAATGGTATATTAGACACAGCTAAGGAGAGACTTTTCCAACTAGAATATAGATCAGAACTTTTGTTTCTACTGGGTAACTTAGGGACAATATCAATTTAGGGCCATGTTAAACTAAATTCTAAGCTTGAAGTTTTTTTGACCAGTGTGATTTGTGCTGTAAAACTTTGTGAAACTCACTGATATGTGGTTGTCAATTATCAGGGGTAAATTCTCCCTATTCCCATGGAGTGCTGAGGTTCAAAACAGGCAGTCTTCCTTAGCATCTTGGTGGGATTGGAGTAGGAGTGTTTTATTTCAAGTTCACTGTTATGCTGAGGGGTGGCTCTTTGATATGGCAGCTTTATGAGCTAAAATCTCCTATTTGACCCTTCTTGAGCAGGCTCTGGACTTTCTTCTCTGACCCCCTTGTGGACTGAAAATTAAAGCTATGAGTTTCTGCCTTTACATGGATGTTAAAGTTTTGCATAGGTTTATCAGTCAGTTTCAGTTAAACTAAGATCATGGCATCTGGTCCCATCACTTCATGGGAAATAGATGGGGAAACAGTGGAAACAGTGACAGATTTTTTTCTTGGACTCCAAAATCACTGCAGATGGTGACTACAGCCATGAAATTAAAAGATGCTTGCTCCTTGGAAGAAAAGTTATGACCAATCTAGACATCATATTAAAAAGCAGAGAGACATTACTTTGCCAACAAAGGTCTGTCTAGTCAAAGCTATGGTTTTTCTAGTAGTCGTGTATTGATATGAGAGTTAGACTATAAAGAAAGCTGAGTGCAGAAGAATTGATGCTTTTGAACTGTGGTGTTGGAGAAGACTCTTGAGAGTCCCTTGGACAGCCAGGAGATCCAACCAGTCCATCCTAAAGGAGGTCAGTCCTGAATATTCTGTGAAGGGACTGATGCTGAAGCTGAAACTCCCAATACTTTGGCTACCTGATGAGAAGAACCGACTCATTTGAAAAGACCCTAAGGCTCGGAAAGGTTGAAGGTGGGAAGAGAAGGGGACAACAGAGGATGAGATCGTTGGATGGCATCACCAACTCAATGGACATAAGTTTGAGTAAACTCCGGTCGTTGGTAATGGACAGGGAGGCCCGGCGTGCTGCAGTCTGTGTGGTCACAAAGAGTCAGACACAACTGAGCGACTGAACTGAACTGAAGCATTTGTCTTTCATGCTGTCAGAAATGGGCAGGTGCTTAACTCTCATATTCTTTTTTCTCCCATTTCAAAAATTTTTTAAATGGAAGATTTGTTGTCAGTTGCTAAGTCATGTCTGACTCTTTGCAACTCTTGGGAGCAAGCTCCTCTGTCCATGGGATTTCCTAGGCAAGGATACTGGAGTGGGTTGCCAATTCCTTCTCCAGGGGATTTTCCTAGACCAGGTTATGAACCTGCATCTCCTGCATTGGCAGGCAGATTCTTTACCACTGAGTCACTAGGGAAGCCCTAATTGGATAATCGCTTTATAATGTTGTGTCATTGTTTTTGTTGTACAACAAAATGAATCAGCTATATGTATACATGTATCCCCTCCTTCTGTAGCCTCCCTCCTGCCCACCCCCACCCCTCCCTTCTAGGTCATCACTGAGCACTGAGCTCTCTCCCGGTACTATACAGCAGCTTCCTGCTAGCTATCTGTTAAACACAGGTAGTGTATAATATATCAGTGCTATTCTCTCAAGTCGCCCCACCCGCTACTTTCCCTGCTGTGTCCACAGCTCTGTTCTCTATGTCAGACTTGCAAATTTGCCCATCAGTACCATTTTTCTAGATTCCATACATATGTGTTAACATACAATATTTCTTTTTCTCTTTCTGACTTACTTCATTCTGTATGACAAACTCTAGGTACATCCACATAACTAACTACAAATGACCCAATATTGTTCCTTTGTATGGCTGAGTAATATTCCATTGTATATATGTGCCACAATTTCTTTATGTATCTGTTGATGGATATTTTATTTTATTCTTGACAGCATTGTTCCCTTAACATTGTTGCTGAAGATCCATACCTGAGTCTCCCATTGTTGCTCCTGCTGGGTGGGAACCAACACCTTGAGAAATACTGCCTGGAGGGTGCCACGCCATGAGTGAAGGGACAGTCCCATGGCTCACCAAGCCAGCTCGCCTCCCACTCCCAGCTCAAGCTCCAAGATGCAGAACAAGTGAGGTGCTGCTCCTTCTCCAGGTAAGGTATGTAGTAACTTCCAAAACTAACTATGCCAAGAAAGTAAGGATGCCATTGAGTGGAAAGACCTAAAAAAGTGTTTTCATTGATCCAAAGCTCACTTAGGAATCCTCACATGAGTCCTCATTTGCTCCACAAACACCCGAGCCCCTATCGCATGCTGTCCATTCCACAAGGCACTTGGAGGGGCAGCAGGTGACGAGACCCCCCAGGCCTTGCCTCTCTCTAGTACCCAGTGACCATTAGCTATTTAAATGTAAATAAGTCAGAGTTCTATTCCTCTTTCCCTGGCCACATTTTGGTGCCAGTCCCTCGGCACACCTGGTGACCACTATACTGGTGGATGATGACGCAGCACAGCATCCCCCTCAGTACAGAAAGGTTTCTGTGGGTAGCGCTCTTTAATGGGCTGAGCTGGCTCTATCCCCCCTCAGCACAGCATCCCCCCTAGCACAGAAAGGTTTCTGCAGGCAGCACTCTTTAATGGGCTGGCTCTGAGGAACAGCGTCAGGTCTGTGGAGCTGACCTCATCCAGCCTGGGCGCCTGACAGGTTGGCCATGAGACAGTCCAGACAAAGGCAGCATCTCACTTCTTTTCCTTCAGTTCCACAAGCTCTTGTGTGCCCCTCAACAATTCTTTCTCCTTTAGTACTCCTGAACATGACCAACTGAAACAGAAGAACCGCGATGGAGAAGCACATCAACCAGTGCACCCCGACATCCCCAGCCCCCCAGAGAGATCCACAGAGCCCACGGACACCGAAGGTTCCTATCAGCCCTGCAGTAAAGGAACCTTGACAGTCGCTGAAGGTAGGCCCTGAACTTACATGACCACATAATTCAAAGTTGCTAGTGAAATCCTTCTGGATCTGTCTTTGAGGAAAGCAGGATAGAACCTGCCTCTTGTACAATCTTTTCTTGTTTTTACATTATTTGAAAAGCCCTTTCTCAGAATGTGGAGGTGAGAGTTCCTGTTCCATCTCTGAAAGGCCATGGTGGCCCTGGCATCTCATCCTGCCCTCTGGCCAGGCATCCCCATGCCTCCTGCCAGCATCAGAGCCACATCCTCACAGCCGCGCACAGAGAACAGGCAGACGATGGGAGCAACATGTTCTTTTATTGATGCAAGTACGTCCAGTCACACCAGTAGCTGACATCCTGCATTATGGTACAGCTTTATACTCAGTTCATCTTGAAATACCAAAACATCAGAGTTAGGGTATGTATCAAATTGGAAAAACAAAATAGCAAATGTAGACACTGTGGCAGGTCGGTACTAGAACTGATAACCCAGGGAAGTGCACATTGATGTGAAAGCTCCTTAACACGTGGACAAAAAAGGTTCTAACATTGTATTCCAAATATAGATTCTCAAGTTTTAAACCTTTATCTCAAATACATAAAGCAATATGTATTATCAGTATACAGTATGTACTATCTAGAACATCTGAAAAGTGCAAAAACACTGTGACAATACAGTGTGAATATCCTTGCTCCACCCAGGGATGAGGGCGACATCAGCAGCAGATCACAAAGCCACCTCCCCCTGAGGCGGCGTCCTCACATCTCCAGGCTCTCCCAGGAGTTCTGGGAATTGGCAGCTAACAGATCCATCCTCACCCAGGCCTCCCCGCTGGAGACTCTGGCGAACCCCAGCCATGTGGGGAGAGGGTGAGTAGTTCCAGGTCTGCTTGCGTGGAATGAAAGCCTGCCAAGAGGCAGGGATACAGTGTGGACTGCCCACTTCTGACCTTGAAGGGAGCAGGGCTGTCGTGATCCCACGGCCAGGAAGTCAGACAGAAAATGGAGTGCACACCTCGAGTCTGGGTGTGGAAAACAACTCCAAATGTTGGGCGGTTGTATGTGCATGGGCTCCAGCAGATACAGGCCTGGCTAACTTTGGGTTTCAGTTCCACTAGGGGAGCTCCCCGCCCAGAAGGAAGGAGGGTACTGATTTGTAAGTTGCTTCTTTTCCCTTTGTACTTGGACTTCAAGGTGGCTTTCAGTGTCCCCATCCTTCAATTTTACTTTTTTTTCACTTCATTATGGCTAAGTGTCTCAAAGTGATAGCCTGGAAAACTGACAATTCCATGATCCCCCTCCTTACGTTATTTGAGATTTTCTCTTTTCCTAAAATGTAGTTGAGTTTTGCCAGACATATTCCAACAGAAAATACGCTGCCAGGTATCCCCCTTCCCTCCCTACTGACCCCCATAAATCCCTGATAAAGGAAAATGAAAATGTAAACTTTGGAAAGCCCATGTTCAAGGTGCACTTCTAGAAATAAGCAAATGAGATCCACCCGCCCCCACCACCCCGGCCACCCGAGCCCTTCTTGCTGGACCCTCGCAGGCCTGGGCGCTGAGGGCAGCACTTTCCCGGCACCTCCAGCAGCCCGGCTGCGGGAGAGACCGGCCTCCAGTACCCTCTAAGGCACTAACCCCGACATCAGAGACACTGGCTGGAAAGGAGGCAGGGCTCACGTTGGTTTTGGTTGGGTTTTTTAAATTTTTTTTTTTTGTAAGATGTTAATAATCAAAAGTAGAAAATAAAAATCTACATTTCATTAGAATAAGATGTTATCATGGACACCATCTCCCATGATACTCTTTCCCCACCCCTCCCCAAAGCAGGGCCCTGCCCTGTTATTTAAAGTAAACAAAAGAACTTTGTTAAGTGCCAAAGGTTGATGCATGAAATAATTATTTTTTTCTTCACAAAAGTTATGTACAAAATGGACCCCAACCAGTGAGGCCTCCTCATCTCAACCCATATCAATCAACATTAGAACTCAGTACATAAGTGTGCTTCATCCAGCGTCTGCAGGCCGCATCCATGCCTTCAGGCTCTGTTAAGGAGAGTGGTCCTAAAGGTGGGCAGGGAATGAGGAAATGGTTAAGTGGCCACAGGCCCTTCCCCCGACCAGGCAGAGGGCAGGCCTGTGCAACTAGGGGAGGTCTGGCTGCCAGGAACTGGCCATGGAGGGATGATCAGGGAAGTTCAAACCCCAAGTCCTCAGGGATGCTCCCCCACCTCATCCTTTCCCTTCCTTATAAACTCAGGCATGGGGGTTGGTCGTGGGGTCAGGAGACTGCCCCTGGAGTTCTCCTACCTGAGGGTCTTCCAGCTGTCCTTTTCCATGTGGTTTTCTGGACCTTCACTTTCAAAGGAGGCGATGAAGAGAGCTGAGAGACGAGAAGACCCTCAGAAGCCATGTCCACACACGGTCAGTCTGCCCCCGACACACATACCCTTCTCAAACCCTCCCTTCCAGGGTGGAGCAAGGCCCAGGAAGGAACTCCCAGACCAAGCAGGCAGTGACGTCTGGCCCGGGATGGTCCCCAGGGGTCTGCTGTGTGGGGCTCCCGGCTGCCTGGGGACTCTGAGACTTCTCTGGCTCCACAGCGCCGGTCCAGGCCCATCCTGGCTTTCAGGAGCCCGATCTCTTCTTGTCCTTCATCTCCCATCCGCTCGCAGCCCACCCTCATGCACTCTCCCCTGAGAGCTGAGCTTCCCCAGCATAGCATGGGAATAACCTGGGAGGGCACCCCGAGTCAGAGTGACTTTTACAGTGTGTGTCTGGGCAGGGGGTTGGGGGCGGTGGCCCTCACCTTCTTCGCTGTAGATGGGAGCCGTCAGCAGGTAACTCTGAATCTTCTTGTCCTTCTCAAAGGGACACTCCACCTGTGTCCATGTCATGAACTCATGGATCTGCCTGGAGATCTCCCAAAATTTCTGAAGGGTCAGAAGATTTGTCACCTTAAGCTTGAAAACCTTGGTTAGGGAAGGGGACGGAGGCTCCGCTTTCAGTCTGCTGCTCACCTCCTTGGTCCCAGCGAGACAGGACGGTAGCCCTTCAGAGCCAACTCGGACCCAGAAGGGCCCCCACACACAGCACCGCACCACCAACCAGAACACACCCTGACCTCACTCCTGGGGGGCCTCGTGTCTCCTAGCTCTGTGACCAGACCACCCACCCAGAGCTAGGGCACCGCACACCTGGAGGTCACTTGGCAGCCAGGACCCACCCTGGAGCTGTCCAGGCCACCACCCAGCCACTGGCAGGCAGAGACAGACTCTGCCTGTTTAAGAGTGAAGCCCGGTCTCCCTCCCTGCCTGGGGACAGGGCACGGGGCTGAGCTAACCTTGAAGTTAATGTGTCCGTTGGGCAGGTGGTTGGTGTGGATTTTGTGCAGGAAGTAGATGTCCTTGACGAAAAGGTTGAACACGGGGATGACGATCTTCTCCCGGCTGCTGTTGGCCGTCTGTGACCTCTGTGTGGCCCCCTGCAGGGCTGTCCGGTAATTGCAGAAATTGCTGGATGGGTCCATGTGGTGCTGTGGGCAGACAGGAGGATGTGGTGGGCACTGCACTTCCACCGCCCTCAGACCTGCTCAGGACACCCTCTGCAGAAACCAGCTCTGGGCAGCCTGTCATTTCCAGGAGTGAGCCCAGTGGGAGAAGTGCAGAGGGCACCGGGCTGTGCACCAGGCCAGGCCTTTGGGTTGGGGTCTGAGCATCACAGGAAGAGCTGGAGAGAAGTCTCAGCAGTGCACTCACACCGCCTCTTTCCCTCCTAAGTATGCGTCTTAACCTCCTTCAAAATCTTCCTGTGCCCTTCTGTGGAGGCCAATAGCCCCAAACCTGACCAGCTGCACAGACACGCCTATAAAACTGGATTCTGTGATCAAATACATCTGGTCAAGGCTGCACACTCACTGGCCAGCCCCTGGGCCACCCAGACGACCCAGGACTTCAGGGAACAGGCCACTCTCTGCTTGGTCAGCCTTGCCCAGCCTGGGGCTATCGGCCTGCCTTTGCTGAACCCCTACTAATCTCTCCCCAGAATTCTGCTTTAGGCAGTGCTGGTTCTGACTGAAGTCCTGAAGCCGAGGAAGTGTGGGCTGCCTGCCTCCCAGGGGCAGCGCAGCCAGGTCTGCTGACACTCCCGACACCGGATGGCACCCGGGGCAGCACATCTTCACAGGGGCCGAAGCATGATGGGAGCCCCCGCCCAAGGCTGATGCCTACCTCTAAGACGTCGAACTTTGCCGTCTTGACCTTGGACCACGTTTTCTTCAGCCTCGCCACAGGACTGAGGTTCATGCCAGCTGCAGGGGGTGACAGGCAGGGTGAGGGCAGGGGGAGGCAGGCCCCGCAGCACTGGAGGGGGACCCCGGGGGCCGCACACTCACAGATGATGGCCATCATGGAGTTGAAGTTGCCGATATTGAAGCACTCTCGAGCCACGTCAATGAAGAACTCCAGCATGCGGGTCCGGTGCTTCTTCTTCACTACCTGGAGGGCGGCCCGACAACTCAGCCTGGACCCCACTGGGGGCCGTCCCCTCCAGCACCAGCCCCTGAAGGGCAGGCTGATGGGAAGCTGCCTGTGCCCACAGAGCAGTGGGGCCAGGCTGAGGGGAGCTGCCCAGGCTGCAGAGGCAGGAGATGAGGCCGTGGTGGTTTGATGCTGGGCCAAGCGGTGGGAGGGCAGGCAGAGGGGACCACGCTGGGCACCACAGGTGCTTCCGCCGTGGGTCACTGTTGTAATTTAGGTCATCACTTGGGGGATGGGGTGGGCATGGTACTTCCAAGGCCCTGGCAATAAAAGTTTGCTGTCTCCACTTACAAAGTTTCATCCTCTGCGGGGAAGGGGAGGCAGAGCCTCAGGGGACACCATGGGGTCAGGAGGAGACTGTGCCCCACCAAGGCTGCCGTGCAGCACTCACCCGGCACACCTCGGTGGCCACCAGCATGCTGAGGCAGTTGAACCAGTTGTCGTAGGCCTCCAGGCTGTAGGTCTTTGTCATGTCCCCTCGGCACTGTGGGGACGTGGCAGGTCAGAGGGAGCCCGAGGACCCTGCCAGTGGGTGCTGCTCTACCCCCACCCCCAGAACCAAGAAGCCAGGAGAGGAGACTGTGAAAGCAGGGAGGGGAGTGGGGCTGCTGGACGGGCCCCCAGGGGATCCCCCCAAGCCCTGCAGGGATCAGCTTGGAGGCCTCTGGGAACACTGCCCCCCCCCCACACACACACCAGCATACATCACCCTGCATGGCCATCCACCACCCCTGGAGCAGGCGCTGGAGACCAGACCCACATGCATCAGTTGTGAGCCCCCCGTCCAGTGCACCCGCAGCCCTCACCCTGTGCTTGTCCCGGGAGTCCATGTGGCTGACGATCTGCATCAGGTCCTCGGGGTGGATGCTGCTGACTCTCTCCTGGGAGTAACGGGGAGACGGCACAGGAGGGGTGACCATCTGCCTTCCTCAGGCCAGCCCCACCCTCAGGGCACAGTGTGTCCAGAGCAGCAGTCAGGACCTCCCTACAGGGGCGGGCACCACAGCCACGGCCCTTCCTCGATCAGAGCGCCCAGTGGACAGGCCCCCCCCAGGAGCACTCCAGGGGTCTGGAAGGCCCCCCTGGGAACAGGGGGACAGGACTGTGTGTATGACTCAGGGCCACAGCTGCTACACTCAGGGTACCTGCCCAGCCCAGGGCGCAGGCAGGACTAGGGTACCAGAGCCAGTGGGAGGAGCTCTGCCCCGGAAGCCCCTGCCATGAGCACAGGGCTGCCATGATCCGGGGAACCTGCTGCTCAAGTGTACACACGCCTGCCAGAGGCAGTGGTCAAAGCTGCCATGCAGGCTTCCCCCGACACCCCAGTCTGACCAGCAGGGGAGACCCTGCCGCACCCTGTGAGGGGTGGTGAGAAGATGAGCCTCTGAATGCCCCCCAGCCCCACCCTGGAAGGCTGTCCACCACACTAACCAGCTCGATATGTGTCAGCTGCTGGGCCAGCACCAGGGGGTCGCAGCACACGCCCAGGATGTCCTTCTGAGCAGCTGGAGGCTTGGCCTTGAGGACGGGCCCTTTGTCCATAGCTGGTGAGCGGAGCTTCTCCCGCAGCTCCTGAAGCTGGCTCCGGGCAGCCAGGGACAGCAGCAGGCTCTGCGTCATCTGGGAGATAGCCTTCTTCACAGTGCTATTCTCCTGAGGGGCGGGGGCGGAGAAGGCGCTGCTGTGGGATGGAGGGACCTGCTGGCAGTACCCAGCTCACCTCCGGGGACCTACCTCTCACTAGGCACCCACCCACAGGGCAGGAGGAGGGGGCCTGGGACCATTCCCACTCTAGCCACAGGGTATTCCGTGTGCAGAGGATGCTGAGGGCAGGTCTGTGTGTTGCCGGCCAGCTGAGCTGCCTTCATGGGGGTGAGAGGCAAACGGGGCTGCCCGGCACCCTCTTCAGGAGAATGACTGCCAAGGAGACCATGTAGAGAGCTCCCCCAGACAAGGCACCCTGCCAGGGTCTGAGAGGGACCTCACCTCATCACACTGGGTGACCCGATGGGTGATGGCCTTCAACTCAGCCATGGCCTTCTCGTCCTGGAAGTCAAAGGGGAAGGCCTCCGTCCACTCCTTAAGCAGCTGCACGATCTTGGCTGAGAAGGACTTCAGCTTGGCCTGGGTCAGGGCAGGTAAAGTGAGGTCTATGGCTCCTCTCACCCATCCCCACAGGACCTGCGTCCCCTGCCCCGACACCGGGCTGAGCACTACCAGGTAGGGACAGAGCCCTGCTGCCTTCGTCCACCTGCGGTACTGTCTTTTCCTGCTTCACTTTCCATTCCCCTGATGCCAGCTCTCTTAAATTCATTTTCAAAAGACCACCATGACATAGAAAACTAGTTTCATTTGCTGTAATTAAAAGTTACCCATAAAAAACATGACGAAGGGCCTCCCTGATGGCTCAGTGGTAAACAACTGACCTACCAGTGGAGAAGACACAGGTTCGATGCCTGATCCAGGAAGATCCCACATGCCACGGAGCAGCTAAGCCCGTGCACCGCAACTACTGGGCCTGTTCTCCAGGGCCTGGAAGCCACAACTATTGAGCCCACACACCCTAGAGCCCATGCTCCACAACAGGAGAAGCCACCACAATGAGAAGCCTGCACGCGACATACAGAGTAGCCCCCACTTGCCGTTAACTAGGAAAAAAAACCCTCACAGCAATGAAAATCCAGCACAGCCAAAAATAAAAAATAATTTTTTAAAAAAATGATGAAAACCAAGCAAAATCATGAATGTTAAGCAAGAAACTGCCTTCTCTCCGTGAAAAAGCAGGCTGGCAAGTGCCAGGAAGGACTGCAGACACCCAGGCGTCCTCTCCCCAGGTCCACATGCATACACGGCTCAAGCGGGTTCAGGATGCTCGGTGCCCAGCCCCGCTCAGGTTCACCAAACCCTTCCTGGGCCCACCTTGGCTCCTGCCTGCCCCTGACCAGCTCCCTGGGCCTGCCTGGACCATCCTGGCCTCGACTGCCCTCGGGNCCCTTCCTGGGCCCACCTTGGCTCCTGCCTGCCCCTGACCAGCTCCCTGGGCCTGCCTGGACCATCCTGGCCTCGACTGCCCTCGGGGCACGGCCCCCTCATGACCCCACTGCCCACCCCTGCACCTGCCTGCCCCCATCCACCCACACCTGCCTTATTTAGCCCACTGATTCCACCCTCGCCCTCTGCCCGTGCCCTGGTGACGGCTCCCATGCCCTTCAGAGCCTCCTCCCCCAGCCACTCACAGCACTGAGTCACGGCACCTCAGGAGGCCCTGCTGACAACCCCCAGGTGCCCACTGCACCCACGTTCAGCAGGAACAAGAGGCCTGCGTTCCCTCCTCAGAGGCCCTGCCCTGCACGTCACCCGACAAGGCTGGCGGGCTCCTCTCAGGCCTCTACGGGACCCCTCGCTGACCCTCAAGCTCAGATTCCATCTCCCACTCACCCTGTTCTGGCTGTTTTCCACCCACACCCTCAGGAGCCCTTCCTGGTCCCCAGGCTGCCGTCAGTGCCCATCCCCCTCTCAGCCCAGCAACCCCCAGACCGACCCCCGAGGGGGGCCTCGGAAGAGCTCTCCATGGGCCTTCACTGCAAACCCCCAGGGGCAGGAGGCCCAGCTAGGTGGAGGGACAGGTCGTCGGGAACAGGCCCTGCCAGCTTTTTGCCAGTCTGCCTACCACCCTTGCTGCCGTACCAGACCCTGGGTTTCTGAAATCCACACCCCAGCCCCTGCCCCAGGGCCTCAGGGATAAACTGTGATTTCTTAACCATCCTGACCACCCAACGCCTGACTCAATCAGAAGACATGACAGTGACAGACAACCCTATTTGAGTCACTGCAAACTCCAGCCTGAGGGTGCCGCCCCCCCTACCCTCCTTAGAGGGGCAGTGACCAGAAGGTGACCCAGCCTTCTCCACCAGCTG